ATACCCTCAGTAGTTATAATCAATACCCTCAGTGGTTATAATCAATACCCTCAGTGGTTATAATCAATACCCTCAGTGGTTATAATCAATACCCTCGCTGCCAACAGTCAAACTCAGTTAACTGGATTTCCAGATGTGTCACTTTAATTCTTACAGAACTTCTTATGGAGAGCTGTTTTGAAGTGAACTTCAGACTAAAGACTCTAAATCTCTGAAGTCCCTGAGAATGACTGTGCATATGATCGATGACAGTGTTTTATTTTATTATTTTTTTATATAGTCTTTAAAAATATAGATGTCTCAAACCCCTTTTGGTATAAAATATGAATTTATTATATTTGTCTATTTTTGTACATAATCATTTCACTGTTTCTTCAATCATACTGATGATTTTTGTTTTCTATTAAAAATATATTTTTTTAAAACATAATAAATAAATCGGTAAAACAACTAATGATAGTTAGGAAAGAAGAAAAAATAAATACAATATTGGGCAAGAAAACAACATCAGCAAGACAATTGACAAATGTCAGAATTAAGTGGTATCGTCACGAGGAGTATTGTTAAAAAACACACTCACCATTTCCAGACTTTCACCATATCATCTAGAGAGCCAGTGACAATAGTTTCCGTCCCATCCGCCTCACTTTTACCCCACGCTGCTGTCCAGATAGCGTCATCGTGTGCTGAGAGGAAACAAGCACAGGTTGAAACTCTGTGTCCGTATAAATAAGCCAGACTGATGGCTGATTCTTTTTAAAAGATAAGTCTGGAATTACTCTATATTTTTGTTCTTGACGACACAAAAAACAATGACTATGACTCTGAATAATCTCTGACTTCCCTCCTCTGTCTGTGGTTCTGAGCTGCAGGCCCATTTGTTTCTACTGAACATGTATATCTTTAAAAACAGATCATGGGAATAACTTAAGTAATAATGGAGCTCTATGGCAAAGAGGAATAAGTGAATCCTGATGTGGCTGTACAGACAATAACTGATGGTAGAAAGTAGTCTTTACAGTTTAATATATTATCACTACCATATACTTTATCCTTCTTGCAATTACTCACCTTATTAACAACCAACAACAAACAGAAAAGACAGGAAAAGAGCTGAGAGCTGACCAGAAAGCTGTGTCATAGTATGACAGGGTACAAAATAACATCAACAATTATCTTTCTTTCTTCAGTTGATATATTATAATAATAAGCTGTAGCTTGAACCTTTATTTCTGTCATGATCGTGGTTGTTTTCAACTGTGGCATTGCCCTAATGACTGCCTTGATTTTTTATATATAGTTTATTGTCTCTATTGTTGATTGCAGACTAAAATAACTGTCAATTCAAGTCAGTATCGATGTGATTTATAGTTATACAGTGAGATCAGTTGACCCATTATGGTACTCACCGTGCTCCTGCTTGAAAAGGATGCTGTACTGAAATCAAAGCACAAGCTTACAGTTCATCTTTCACCAAGAAAACAAACAAAATGAGGTCAACATTGAGCGGAAATATGAGGCCATTTAAATGTGATGCTTACTTGTGTGCTCATTGTTTTCCCTCTGAGAGCCAGCTAGATTCTTTTAACCTGAAACACAACATGAATGTGTGTAAGAGAGAGATTCAGTATAACAGTGTGCAGCTGTACAGTTACCGGGAGAACAGACGGATGAAGAACAAGCTCTGTGTAACACCAACAACCCCGTATGTGTGTGGATCTACAGATGGATGCTGCTGCAGTCCCTCGGCTCTGAGCAGCAGCAGTAGTTATTGCAGCAGTTGAAACAAAGTGCAGTTTTCGCTTTTAACAGTTTCCAGATTATCAGCTGATCATCCGTTTTAGCTCACTTCCTGTATTGGCAGGTTATTCATTCGTTATATCGTTAAATGTACACCCACGTACCTTTAAATCTCCAAATAAGATGTTTTATTCAATGTCTGAAGCTCGGTGATTTACATGTGAGACGCCATGACAACATTTGTCGTAACTTCCGGTTTCGGTCTTCTTCTTTTGTTACAAAACAGTTGGCGGATGACGTACGGGACTCACTACCGCCACCAGCGGAACCGTGGTGGAAATGCGCCTCTACAGCGACTGGACCAAGCTACTAGAGGTGAACAAGATACTCTATTTGAAACTATTCGTTTTGTTTATTTTAAAAACCTTGCAACGCATTCATTTAATATACGTTTGATTTAATAAAGCTGTTAATAGTTATTATGGTAATATATATAGAATATATTATTATTATTATTATTATTATTATTATTATTATTATATATATATTATATAGAATAAGTCAGTTTGATGGGTGTGAGGGAGAATCAAATGGGCATGGCAACAACACTTGATGACAGCGAAGAATCCAGTCAACAAGTATAAACAACAAGCAAATGTTGTTGGTTTAAATGAAATAATGAAATAGGTTTATAATCATTAATTAATTAATTAATTAATTAATTTTCAGGGACTACGGTAAGACAGAGAAGACAGAACTGTAATTATCCTGTAATATTCCCAGTTGTTTGATTAAGTGTTTAAGGTACCCAGAAAACCAAAACATGATCAGCATTTGACTTTAGATGAGACTTTAGGATGTGCGGCCTGTCTTTACTACAGTAATAATGGCTTCAAGTAAAACCTCTATGGTGCAGAGAGAAAGGCAAACCTGAGCCTGAAGATAATATTCTTATATTTTGACAGTTGCTGCCGCAGCACTCTAAGCTCTGCAGCCTCAAAAAACAGTCAAGATAAAGTTTCAAGAGAATATTTCCAAGTTGAGGAAAGCAAATACAGCAGAGAGAGAGAGAGAGAGAGAGGGAGAAAGCCCCAAAATGATCACTTGTAAGTCCAGTCTCTTAATGTAAACGTGTAAATAATATTTTTCAGTGTTTAGGATATAATTAATTAACAGTTAAAACTTCACTAAAACACACAATAATGTAGTTGTATGTAGATATAAGGACAGTCTAATTCCCAGAGCATCAAATACTGACGCTTTGCATCCCTGAGAATGAGATTCAACACTCAACTATCTTTCCTGGCTCTGACCTGATGTTTTCATTCTTACAAATGCCATCAGGAGTACTAGGAGCAGCCAGAGAATCTGATTTTTTTTCACAGATTGAAATCTTCAGCATCCCTTAAGTGCAAAGAAGAAATGGTGGCTGCGAAATGCACCCAAAATGCTTTTTAGAGCAAGTGTATGGTTTGTCCCTTCTGGACTATAGAAACATGGTGGTTCAACATGGTGGACACTAGGCAACCTACAGCATATGCAGATAAAAAAGGCCCCTTCTAAGATAAAAAAAAAAAACATAATGATTCCTATATTCAGGTGATTATACACTAAAGAAAACACATCTATGAATATTATGTTCAATTTCTGCCAATAGATCCTCCTAAATGTTTCACACTGGACCTTTAGAGTCGCTGCTGTTTTGTTCTCCATTTACAGTAAAACATACTGTCTGGAAACGCTAAACAGGTTCTGAACTGTTCCTTTTTCAAGATGACTGTTTCACGGCCAGATTAATTGTTTTCTGTGAGCATGTGAACCACCTGTAGAACTTCTTTCTCAGTTTTTAAATGCTTGATCCAAATGCTGTTTTTCAGTAATGTTATTGTACTTTTTCTTACATGTTAGTGAGGGTGGAAAAATTCCAAATCTGAAATCTGGATCTTTTCTTGCAGCCTTGACTTTGGTTTCTCCGACAGGCATGTGTATTTTTCCTTCTGTTGGTTCTGCAGGCAGTAATGATCATAGAACTGCTATTTTCAGCCAGTGATTCATTCGTATTTTCAGGGCAATAATGATGGTGGGTAATGAACCTCATGTAATGGCATCAGCTGCAGCATGCTGGAAGGAGAGCAGGACTTCTGATGTCTTTATCTTTGATATGACAAAATAAAAGCTTTGTCCTGTCCTGCACAAAACAATAACAATAATAATAATATTACTAATACTAACTTTACTAATACTAATACTCTTTCTTAGGTGCACAGAAGCACCTCTGAGACTCTGCTCTGTCATTTAAGCATGACACCAACATGAAATATAACTGTAAGAAGTCTTTAAAAGTGTCAGCTCCTTATGTAATTGTCATTTTCCCTCTTATGGCTTTTAAATTATCGGTCTAGCCTGATTATGGGATTTTGTCTTGGCAGACTGTGTCAATGGAAAAAATGACTAATCGAGAATAAAAAAGTAGTAACTTTTAAGCTGAGGTGTCTCTTTCTAAGAGGGTTTGAGTCATTTAAATTCCTCTTTTGGAAACTACTACACTTTTTTTCAACCTTCTTAAAGAATGAATTGTAAAGTGTTTAAATTTAGATAAGCGCATTATATAATGTCTGACCATTAACCAGTTGTGTTTTAGGTGCTGATCCTCAGCAAACAAGCATGCATACATACCATGTGGTGTAAGTGGTGTAATAACGGTCAACTTCATCTTAAAGTTATTTTCCCTTTCCCCCAATATTTCCTTTTCCCCCACATTTACCGTAGCTGTAAAAATATGCATACTCAATTGTTAAGATCTATAATTTCTAGAAGCCACTGATAATTGAACACCTTCTGAATACTTTCTTAACATAATATAGTACATTAAAATAACACAACAACAGTATAGTATGTTTATTTGACAGTTATCAGCAATCAGCAGACAAACCTGTAACTGAGCCTGATCTGTTGTCTCTGGTCTGTGGGACACATTAAGAGAGAGACTCTCTTAATGTGTCCCACTGTCAGATTATAGCAATGCTCAGCTTCACTTTGTTACACTTTGATATTCATAATCTTTCGTTTCTGGTCATGTAGCTCACTTGGGGTGGTCTGAGGGTGAAACACTTGCTCAAGGGCACCTCAGCTGTAGTTATCTTACAGCACGACCTGCTAATTAGCACTGCGGCTCATGTATCCACTTTACATAAGAGTGCAGACTAATACATTATTAATACATGATTAATACAATACAATAATAAATATATAATTCCTTGTTAAAGCCTGGGGGGGGGGCAATAAGAATGGTATACAAAGTGGTTTGATTTAAAAAAAAAAAAAAAAAGCTTTTTAAACCATCGTGCCAAAAGATGTCAAGAGAAAGTCAACCTCCACATAAAAAAACTATTCATAATCATGTCATCGCCAAACTGAAGCACTATAAATATGCTCTAAAAGAACAATTTTAGTCACTATACTCCCCAGAGAAAGCAGACAGTCTTCTTCTACGGTATTAATGGGACAGAGCTTTCAGGGGGAGGGACCTCCTCTGACTCCCATTAAAGACAGTAGCTATAAAGGAGCAAAAGACAAGGTTGCAGCCAGCACTCTGAGACGCACCGACGAAGCAAGAGTGTGTGAAGGAAAAAAAAAATATATATATATATAAAGGAAACCCAGAGAAACACTTGCGTGTGAGAGTGTGTACGGGAGGTTGAGCCCAGAGCAGAGGAGACAGGAGCACAGGGAAGAAGGAGGAGGGTGAGAAAGAGTCAAAGAGGAGAGAGGGAGAGAGGCATCAGAACGTGGAACAGGTTCTTTCGGCAGCCCTTGCACTCAGCCTAAGCAGACATGCCTAACTTTGCTGGCACCTGGAAGATGAAGAAGAGTGAGAATTTTGATGAACTTCTCAAAGCCCTGGGTAAGCCCTCTCCTGTCTCCTTTCCCCTCTCTCCTCTCCCTCCTCAATAGCCTGAGCTACATCCCTGCATGAGGTTGACTATCCATCATGTCCATATAGAAAAAGGCTTTTCTTGTTCTTTGAGAATGGTTCCCGATTTCCAACAACATCGTATTGTTCAGAGAAGCTCCCTAGGAAAAGAAGGCAGAGATCTACCGGGAGATGCTGCCGAAGGGAAATCCCTCGGCTTTACAGGAGATATGAAGCACTGGATGCTGAATTCCAGCCTAAACAGACGTGGTATTGTTACATGAAGAGAGGAGGGGGGCACAACATTATTCATGTTAAGCATTTAAGTAGGGCATGCATTAGCAATGCCAGGGGAGGTCTCTGGAGCCCAGTGTTATTCTCTTGTGTCCTATCTTTTTTCATTCTTTCTCACCCGTCTTAGTCTTAACTGATGATTGTGATGGTTTAGATTTGGACCAGTTTAACTGGGTCATTCAATTGTGTTGCAGTGTTTTTCGTCACGCCGGGACTGCTGAAACAGACAGGACACAGCAAAAGGTTGTTTGTCCTTAGAATAATGTAGAAATCTTTAGGGACGAGTCCCAATGTGAGTGTGTGGAGCTGCTTCAACAACTGTCCTGGAACTACTGACACCAAACTGAATTACAATTAGAACTTTTTGGACATGAATGGTCCCTGTTTTACCTCAAATTGGTTGAAAAAGTTGAAACAGTTTTGCACAATTGACAGTCTAGTTGTTTGTGCATCACTTCAGCACTTAACAGTGCTTATGAAAGAGAAGTCGAGAGCATATTTGGCTCTGGTTGTAATCTCTCTATAAATACCCCACCCTACTACTGCTCAGTTTATTATTTTAAAGGATAAGGCTGGTGATATTGTACATACATTTCTTATTGTCCACAAATCTAATTAAAAACAAAAAAACAAACCCAACCATGAAATTATCCAACAAGTATTGCCATTGTAGTCTGATGTACTGTAGCTCACATTGCTCCTCTGTCCCATAGAGCTTTATGATGAACCTGGGAACTCTAGTCTATTTAAAATCAACCCTAAATACACCATCCTGCTAAATACCAAATGTGTATTAATCCACAGCTCTAAATAGTCCCCAGGAAACGCATTATTTACTCTAAACTGAGTAACATTTTCTAAAAAACTACAGTGCCCAGCTGGTTTAGGGCATTACTAAACCTTTAAAAGAAATAGTGTATGACCTGTTATTAAAGACTTCAGTAGGAATGAATGGGCTTGTAGTACAGACTGAGTGAGGAAGACAGAGAGTATCAAGATACAGACTAATGCATTATTGGTTTTGGTCTTTTCATAGGATTTTTGACAATATGAAAAATTTAGATTCATGTCAATCTTATTCTTTAATCAGCAGTTCTCTTTAAGGCCATAAAAATCATCCAAAGACCCAAATAAAACATATTTAATCTGAAAGTTGGTAAAATTGTTCAGTTTTGATTCATTTTGGTTCACAAAAGAATTTTCACCAAAAATTCAACATCTTTCCTTCCAATGTCTAGCTTTAACCTAAGGTCCATAAGGCAACTATCCCTCCAATTGTTGTCCAAGAAGAAATCTGTCACTCTCCGAGCTAAGCACTACATCCATTAATGAACACATTAACTACATCTGCCGGAGCAGATCACTCGTTTGCTCTTACATAAGGGCATGGTCAGTGGAGAGCTGCGATGGGCAAGTACTTTGGATTCCAGGACTGCCACTTTCCATCAACATCTTTATAATTATAAGTTGGGGTTTCCCGACAGTAGGAGGGGATTGTTATATACAGGGTGCAGATAGCAGAGGAACTTGCTGAGTGAACAGAGCTGTACGAATTGATCAGACTCACAGTTTGGTAATTGATAGCAGGCATGTGTGTCTGCACCTCATCAAAGAATGTAAAAATACTGTACACTTTATGTACAATTTAACTACTTAGCCAAATGTGGATTCTTTTAAAGACTTGTCTGAGTTAACAGGGACTCAAGTTAAGAAATGCAAAAATATTACCAAGATAGGAAAACTAGGAACTGAAGTTTAAATCTGAGCATTGGGATCAGCAGAAACCTTGTTCAGTTAGTAGGAAATTGTGTGAGCTCTCTCCACCTTCTCCTAAGTTTCTGTAAGAACATGAACTCCTTACTGTTGTAATTATGGTTGTCCAGAAGCTGAAGCTTATTGTCCATTTATTATTATATTTTGTGAACATTTCAAAAAAGAGACAGACTGCTTTCCTCACTGAAGCTCATACATATTTAATGTTATAAAAACACATGGCGTGATCCCTCAGATCATGGGTGGGGTCGGGCATAAACTGTGAAATTAATATGTTTTTTTGCCTGGGTGTTGACCAAGTAACACCGTAGTGGGGTTTGGGGTGAGAAGGATCTCTCAAAACTAATTAGGGCTGAAGTTTTACAAACGGATTTAATTGATCTGGTATGCAAAAATATTCTTTCTTTTCATTTGTTATTTTATTTTGTGGTGGTAGGAGAGGCCAGTAAAATAAAAGATCCAGGACTTTGGCAGGACATAAAGACAGATGGCCTTGCAGTGTCAAACTGGGCGTGACAAAGTGTTGTCCGGGCAGTGCCACACATAGGATCCCCACTCTTACAGTCACCAGACAAAAGGAGATCCAGCACCCAACATCCTCGGGAGTTCACTTTTTTCCTTGGACATGGCCGAGTAATCCCTAACACAGACTTCAGTGCCAAAATTCCACAAATTTCTCTCAGTTTTGAGAAATAGTGGAGGTTTCTGTCAAAGCCACAGGGCATTTATTGTGTTTTTGCTCTGAAACATATACATTTCTGTCATTCTTGGTTAAAATCTAGGCTTGGAGATGTTCCCCATACACCGAAATACGAGCAGACATGCAGCCAGCATGTGCCTCTATATTTAAGGTCCAGAGTCTGATAGAAGCTGGCATGAGGGCATGGAGAGGTCTAAATCTGGGTGGGGTCGGGGGTAAGGCAGGAGGCAAAGACAACAGAACCTACTGGAAGATGTTTTACTACAAATGTTAGCACCAACAGAGCAAAAAGAGGCTAATGACAAAGATCGCATCTCTTTCTTTGTCAGTTTTGTGCTGATTTGTGTCTTTCACGTTCACACTCACGTGGACATTTGATTTTGTTGTAACAAAAAAAGTCATAATTATATTCTCATTACTAAGATGACGCCACTTTTGCATGTTTTATCTTGCATGTGTCAGCTTTTCATTACCTAGCAGAGATCAACCTTTAGCCTATTTCTTTGCTGTCTCTTACACCTGTCGCTCATGATTAAAGTAGTTTTTTGGGGACATTCAGCGATCTGTGACTCTTGTTCAGTCACAGAGGAGTAAGAAGGTCCTTTAATGTCGGCCTCTAATGAACACAAAATCCTTTACCCTGTACTAGTGAACCAATTAGAACAGATACTGCATTTCTGATAAAGTGAGGAAGTATCATAATGGACATTACTGTAATTAAGTATAATAACAATAATTGTTGTTCAATCATCATCAATCATTTTCAGCTGCCATAAAAATCTTGCTTAATAATCTTGCTTAATAATCAACAACCTTCAAACATCCCTGTACATTTGTACAATGAAGCATCCCAACAATTTATTCTTGTTAAAATGGTGAAGCTGACCGTTTCCTCTTGTTGTTCTGGCACTGCATTGTTCCTGCTCAGGAGTTAACACCATGCTGAGGAAGGTGGCTGTGGCTGCAGCCTCCAACCCCCACGTGGAGATCCGTCAGGATGGTGAACAGTTCTACATCAAAACATCCACCAGTGTGCGCACCACCGAGATCAACTTCCACATTGGCGAAGAATTTGATGAGGAGACAGTGGATGGCCGAAAGTGTAAGGTAAATGAGTATTGCAAAGTCATATATTTGAAATAAGGCACACTCATACTGAGTTGGTTAATAACTCTAGCGTAGAATGGGAGTAAAACTTTCTTTAAGTTTGCAAGTTTTACCTCTTCAACAACAAACCATGTATACTTTTATTTATATGTGTATACAAGTTTTTAATGCATTTACTGTTTTACATTTTCTTATTTATTTTACCTGCTATTCTGTTTGTTTCCATTTTTTCTGTATAATATGAAAATCTATGAACAGATTATTTAAAGACTATTTCAGTTGTAATGCCAAAGCTATGTTGTGCAGAAATAGATGGAAAGAAATGGCTGCCTGGAATGGCACAAAATATATAAAATTCTAAGCACAACAGGATTGTTTCCACATTTTTTACTTGTGATCTTAAGTAGAAGATACTTGTAATGGGGTAAAGTATGCAAAACCACTGGTGTGGTATGTGGAAATGTTCATATCCCCTTTATCCTTACCTACATGAACATTTCACTTAACATTTCATCGCAATGTCATAGTGCCCTCCTGTTATCACTTTTCTAAAGCTCATGGCATGTTCTTAAACCTTTAGCACAGTCCTTTTCTATATTGTGGGGACTCGGCTCCCATATGGGGACAAATTTGGAGTCTCCTGAAGGTTGATGTGGATTACTGTTATATTAGGGCAATTATTAAGTTAAGTTTAGTTTAAGTGTTGGGGTTAGGTATACAATGGTCTCCCAAAACAAAATGGTGTGTTTGTGTGTGTGTTCACGAATTCAACCCCATCTGGTGACAAAAAACAGTTTCCATAATTTCAGCTGTTAAATTTTAGGGTTACGTTTTTAATTAAGATTAAGATTATGGTTGTGGTTAATATTGGGATAAGGGATGTTGTAGTTATGGTTAAAGTTAGCATAAGCTTCAGGGAAATTGATGTGTTATGGTATTATGGCTGTTGCCATGTTTTTTCTTTTTTGTTTTTGTTTAGCCAGCGATGGTGACATACTGTGAGTTGAGCTGTGCTTACTTACTACCATAAAGCATACCCTGCTTTATTGTCTGTCTTGTGCTAAATGGGACCATGATTTACAAAATGAACATCATGCTGTATGGAGAAGACGTGAAATTAGTGATTGAGATCATAAATTAATTAGGAAACTGTTCACTAAGCTAATAAATCAAGTGAGAAGTAGGGTCATTTTTCCATAAGACTATATTATTGGACTTTTTTTGCTGTCATTGGAGCTGCACTGTGCTGGCCATTATTTGTTTTATATTTATATTATAATCTGTATTTTCAGGGTATTCTCTGCATGTTTGTTGTGTGTATTAACTGTCATCAGAGCTATCTGCATGCTATTGTCTATTGTTGTTGAGGGTTGAATGAAAAATTAATACCTCCTTGCAGTTTCATTCATTGGTATCATCCTCACGTCTGTGCAGTTGGATTACAGGCAGCTTGAGTTGGGATGCGCGTTTCTCTCTGAACCTCTTTGGTCCCTGAGGGGGAATTCTCACATCCTGGTACACTGTCAGAGCTCCTGCACAGGTTTGAAAAGAAGGCAAAGACATGTATGCTCATGTATATTTTATTTTTCAGAAACATCAAGGTCTTCTCAAATCTTGGAACTCATTACAAATTCTGCTCAAAAAGTGAAACTTTTTAATTGGGAAAGGGTATTCAAGCTCTGACATTAAGGCTGTGTTCTACATGCAATAAGAGTAAACTGGTTTCTTCGAGAAATCAGATATGATCTCAACACTGAGACATTCATCTGTGTAACATACACGTAATTTGTTCAACTAGATGGATGAGGAAGCTAGATTGCCTGATAATGTGTCAAGATATTACGATTCCCAAAGCTGACCTTCATCTGTGTTTTGAGTTTGTGTCAAAAATCCCCTTTGATATATGCTTTGTCCTTTTTATGTTACCTACAGTATATTTGTAGGGATATTTGTAGAACCAGAAGCAGTGTTTTTAGGTGGGACTATTACAGGGTTATTACACTGAAATTACTGTTATATAGACACATATAAACTTGCACATTTAAGCAGTTGTTTGTATTTGAAATTTGGGCCGACTAAGGAAATGTCATTTTTGTTATCAGTAACAATAAATTAGAAACTCACAGTCTGGGATGGTTTTGGTTCTTTTATGATCACGATTATTTAAGAATTTTACTTATACTCGATCATTAAAAATCTTTAAGGTCTCTTCTAACAGCTGTTGAAATTTACAATAAATCTCCATTTTGGAGTGAAGTACAATGTTTTAGGCAGCTGTAACATATTTAGGGATTCAGTGTCTTGTTAAAGGAAACACCAGCAGGACAGTTTCTCAAATTAGCATGCCACACCATCCATAAAGATGCAGATAATACGCTTAAGTTTGAGTGTGGTGCTGCAATATGCTCATCCATCTGTGTGTGCACACTTTTTATAAAGAAAACCAGGCTGCAGTGGCTGTTGCAGTGTAGCAGAGGAGAGCTGCGTAACAGATGCAGAATGAGGAGTTGTTGACGGTCACTATATAACGTATCAAGTTTATCTAACTACTGGATGAATTCGGAGTGTTATGGATGAGATTAGTCATATTTTTGAAAACACTCATTCTTTTTAAGAAAAGAAAATCATCTTTAACAAAAGAAATCCATTAAATGTTAATAACAGCGTTAATGTTGATCTATACAATTGCTTTATTCAATAACATTAACATGTGTAATTGAAGAGTTTAAATCATCATTCATTTAGAGTGTAATTCTGACCATTGAACACCATTTCAACTGGCACCCTGCTGAAGTGTCCTTGAGCAAGGCACTACATCTCTCCGATGCAGCAACTGGTGAACTGCTCTGACAAGACAAGCATTTTTTGACAAAAATAACCCTCATGTATTTCCAAAGCTTCTCTACCAAAAGGGCAGGACCGTTTCAGACTGTCCTCAAAAAATTCTTGGGCAACAGAAAGCAGTGATATTCATTCTTGTGGAGAGTAAAGGGAAATATGTACACCATTAAGTCAACAAAAGTCAGCCAAAAGCCTGAGAAATTGGAGATATGTATTTTCTGAAACCACAATGTCCTTTTGGGTATGTACACTACAGAATTTATTAAGGGTTTGATCTGTCTAGTACATCTATTAACATGCAAAATTGTATGTATATATCGACATAATGCTTGTAAAATGCCTAAACAGCATGCAACAGCTAACATCTAAAGTATATATTTTTGTCTTTACCTTTTATTTTATGGTTATAACTACATGTTGCAGCCAGGAAAAGCAGACATGACCTATTTCAGATCCCAGGAGACAGTGTAGCTCCTTCTGTCTGTGCCCTGGGGCATGCTGGGTACTGGGCAGGGCTAGACAGCTCTCAGTGTGGCTTTTGGCCACATGACGGATTTCTGCTATGAGGCTGACAAGGCGAGTTGTCATCACACATTTGCCACATCCACTTGTTTGGGTTTGAGCATCAGCATCACAGAATTTGTCTGCAAAAAATTGATTTGTTAATGGTACAGCGCAGTCAGAAGATATGAAGTGATATGTTTTTCATTTTTTTGTCTCTGTACTGCAGCACACTGGTGGGTTTACATTTCAATAGGTTACAGGGGTTTTAAGTTAGTGGTCCAAACTTGAAGTTGCATCCATATTTGGTGTTATTTGCCTCTAATTTCAGTACAATATGTAGCTTTTGATACTGTTGCATCATCTGTATCCTCTGTATCAAACCTGTAACCCTAATTAACACACAAACCTGATGAAGCATTTGTGAAAAAAGCTAGGGGTCAGATCATCTCCAAAACTGCAGCTCTTGTGGGGTGTTCCTAGTCTGCAGTAGTCAATACCTATCAAAAAAGAAAGAAAAAGCGAAAGTGAACTGGAGACAGGGTAACGGGCGGTCAAGGCCCGTTGATTCACGTGGGGAGCGAAGCCCGTGTGGTTTGATCCAACAGATGAGCAACTGTGGCTCAAACTGCTGAAAAATGTATGTGATAGCTTATCGGTGTACATTTGCCAGGTGGCCGGAAACACTACAAATGAATAATAATGTCACTCCAAAACTGCTGGATGTGTGGGTAGGCAACTGAATTGAACTTACTAACAAGTTCGCCATATCAACTTACGAAATACGAAATAACGTATCAGTGTCATTTCCAAAACCTCCTGCTTTATTTCTGGTCTGAATCAAAAAAGGTCGTTGTGGGGTGGAAAACCAAAACAATGAGCTGAAAGAAACTAAAACGCTTCATATAGCTAAGAGGAACTGCACAGTCAAGTGACAAGCGACATTCCTTACACTGCTCTTCTGATGTGGATGTAAACATCTGCATATTAAAGCTAAGAACCAGGACCTTACCGTCACAGTCATTGTTTCATTTCAAATCCAATGTGCTGGAGAGTACAGAGCCAACACAATATAAAAAAACAATGTCTGTCCTAATAATGTTTGACTGCCTGTTTGGTGATACATTATAAGAAGGGTGTAAAACATATACCTTAGTAATACTTAACTAATGAATGACTCATGATAATTTAATGCTTGAATTAATGCAGGATGTTTCATGAATTCCTGTTGTTCACCACTAACAAACGATCAAGTCACTGCAAATTTTTATTTTTAGTTCACACTATAGATTTTCAGTTAATGAATGTTAATACACAGTTACTTAATGCATGAATTGATATGCGACCAATTAGATGGATTCCTCTTACATAAAAGTTTCTTTCAGGACCTTACATTTTCCCTCTCTGATAGAAAAAAATCTATGAGAATAGACAAATTGGACCAAATGGTATTTTTTTGTTACATTTACAACATAGTGGACAGATTTTTTTGTTGTTGTTGTTTTTCCAAATTGAGTTTGTTTTGTTGAAAGCAGTTGATGACTGATCATTCTCCTCTAATTTGTTTTGTGTGCTAATCACAAAAAGTGATTGTTAGTGGTGATCAACAGGATACATCCTGCAATAATTCATACATTAAATCATCATTGGTTAAGTATTATAGTATAGGATTTGTACCCTTATTATAAAGTGTTACCGTTAGTAAAAAGAAAACAAGGAGGTGGCTCTGAGCAACAAGCACATTGTGCTCTTGTGTGGCAATCACATGCAAGAGTGAAGCTAAACCTGTAGGAGGCAGCGCCCACTGACACTGGCACATGTTCTGGAGGGGCGAGGGAGGGCAGTGTCGGGTGTTGGCGGACTCTCAGGTGGTGGTTGGCAGGAGAGCCCTAAGTGGGTTTTGGCTGAGGCCGGCTGCCCCTGTGGTTAAACGGATTACACGCTGATCTGTGCCTGGCAAAGAGCAGAGGGCTGATTAACACCGCCACAAGGTTAAAAAGCCCCAGTTAATCTGCGTGAGTGCGGTGGGATTAGACAGTCTCTTCTCACTTCCAGGAGGAGAAAGTGATAAGGTGCTTCCTGTCAGTCTCAGAGACAACAGAGGAACAGACACCAGATGGGCTGCACTGCAGAGTGGAGGTCATAATGAGGCGATTATGTACCTGATCAGATGGATGGACGTGTTTAGGTGGAAAAAGCTCTAAGATAAACATGAGCATGAGTTTTTTCTACCTTGTGCAGCTGAGGTTGGGTTTGCTGAATAATACGTTTTAGAATAATAAAAAGTCTGTGGCGCAACAATATTTTCATTTGAACACATATGCTTCATTTCCCGGTGTGCAAAAAAAAGTCACTTCTAGGCAAAAAGACAAATAGAGTCTTTTAACCCAGCTGGTTGCTATAGAGACAGACTTTTAGTATCAGTCACCTGCCCTAGGGCAACATGGAGAGGTAAAGTGAGCAGAGTAAGGATCAGGAACCAAGCCTGTCTGATTGCCAGAATGACAAAAATAACAGATGTGGCATCCACTAAAGAGTGTCACCATATAATGATACAAGGACAACATGGCATTTATTATTGTATTTCCAAATGATGGTGTATACCCTGACAGGTGATCCTGTAATGTAATCGGTGAAGCTCAGCAGCCTTGTGCAGGTTTGGGGTAAACGGATAAAAGTGGGAATGTATTTCCAGAACAGACAGGGCCTCGTGTGGCTGCGACTGGAGTGTGATTTCTTAGCTTTTGACAGTGGATCATTTAGCATGGGGAGGCAGGAACAGGCCTGTGGCGGATGACAGGCAAATCAAAAATCTGTTGAGAGAGAAGAGAGGGAAGACTGATTATTTTGGACTCATTCTAATATACACTGAGGGCTGAATATTGGGTTTGGGATTTGCAGCCTCATTTGTAAAATCTGTCTTATTACTTTCAAGGCTGAAAAATTCTTTGTCATTCTGTCTGCTCCTCATATCGATTTGTAATCACAATCTCAAAATTAAAGGCAATTTAACAATAGATAGTCTGTAGAGGAACATGGGCATAGCAGCTGTGACGTCACCCATTGTTTTCTGCTGAGACATATTTTAAGTTATAATCCTGGTTGATTCGGTGGCACGTGTGGTTGTACAAAAGTGTCTTTTGTACTAATACTACTCCAGAGAGTATAAAGTTATCAGGGATTTATTAAAGGAGCTGGATACTTAGCCTTGCTGCCAATTTGCCCCAGTAGTCAGTTGTGATACTGCAACAAAAAAGTACCCCCCCCATGGACTATCATTTTACAAGAGAAATCTGTAAAACTGAAAACTGAACTGCAAACAGGGTCAATTATTAGTCCCAGTATTATGGGTCCCAATGTAGAGTCTGGAGCAGGAGAAACACTAATGCACATGTGAAGCTGTTGGCAAAACACAGAAGCAAACTTGGAAACTACAAATCTTTTTTGGCCTATGCACAGCAGTTTTCATCCCCATGAGTTCTTATAATACATGCATGAAAGTTACGTGTATATCGACCACTGCGGACAGCAAACATTGTCTGTCACTGTGTAATCTTTGATATTGCCACTTGGAGTTACCGTTCAATTTTCAATACGAGGATTTTCTTATCCTTAAAGGTCCAGTGTGTAACCTTTAGGAGGATCTATTGGTAGAAATGGACTATAATATTCATAGGTA